ACACACATAGTTTACTGCGGCACATATGCTGCCATTGCAACACTCTATTTCAGAATAAATATTCACTTATTTCTATTATATAGAGAGAGCCTTTTTCTGCTTGTTAGTTTCTGTTTGCTTTCAGCACCTTCTTTTATTCTACTGTAGAATGTATTATCTATACTTTAAAAACTTTATTTGATTGTCTTCATTCTAGACCAAACCTTATCTTTTTTTTGTTGTTGTTATATTTCCAGTCCCAAACCTAGTATTGGGCAAATGATTTGCATATCATCTGTGTTTGTTGGGTTAAACAGTTCTAAATATTAAATAGGGTAGCTTGTGAAGTTAAACCTGAAAGAGAAGTGACATGAATCTTTAAGCTTCTTTGATTTATTTGAATATACATTGAAATGTTGGAAGAGGAGGACAACAAGTTGAATCTACTGTGATATGAAGACTGAGACCATAGCTAGAAAAGCCACAGCGAAGTCCAAAGGCATAGGGCCATGCCATGATACAGCATTAAGTCAGGGATCCAGAACACAAAGTTCATTGCCAATGATTAGTGTATACATGCAACACAGTTGAGAAAGCTACACTTCAAAAGTGAAGGGAATAAGTAAGGGAAGGGAAGATATATTATCTAGGTTTGATGAGGCTACTGTGCGCTAAAGATTTTGTGTGTGGTCAGAAACAGAATATTAAAGGATATAAAGAAGGGTCAGAACATGACAAATGGCAAGTTAGGCACTTCATTCATCCCAAATTAAACTTGGCAGATGAATTCGTTTTATATTTTAGCTCCAATTGCTTTTTAACGTTTCTTAGCAAGGGAAAAAAGGAGAGCTTTATTCAAGCTATTCTGCTCATATGCCAAAAAGTCTAGAGTAGAAATGGGCCATGGTGTGGAGAGCAGTTCCTGGTACTGTGGCTGAAATCAAGGATTGTTTGAAGACTAATGTTCTTGTTTCTGCCACTATCCACACCCATTGTCTAAATTCTAAACCCTGTTGTTGTCTCCTTCAATAGGCTTGCAATGTCTGATGTTTAATAGTCTTGTTTTATTCCCTATGCCATGCTCCACAGTCTGCTTTCTTGATTGTAGACCTTTTGTTATTGCATTTGCAAATCACTTGAATTTTTGATTTCCTGTACAAGCAACATAAGTTCCCATAAGTCTGCTTTATTCCTTGAGGTCTGAGTGCATTTGAAGTGAATGCTGCCACCATATCCGATGCAATCATAGGTTGGTGCCCGTCACACATATTCTACTCGCAAGTCTGTTTCCGCTATCTGGGGTCTCAAGATTCTAGCACTGGATTTGTAGGTTTTGCCACCCATGTTCATATGGGCCCCACTGTACTCTCCTCATTTACATCACTGATGCTGCTTGGATCCTCTTCCAAGGGCATATGGGGAAAATTAGATCATATTTCTATTTCAAGTTATTATTTAGAGATGCAATGCCAAAATTTCCAAGGAAAATAGTTTTATTATCAATCCAGAGGTTCAGAGCCTAAGGAGATTTAAATCTTTTAAATTATATCAGAATTTGATTTTCAGAAAAGTTGGCATGTGTTAAAATCATACAGAAAGTCTTTGGTGTAGATTCTGGACTCAAAACATTATAGGCAGATTTTTTTTACTAATTAAAGCTTTGGCAGGACACTCACAAGTTGTGAGGTATGTGAGAAATTATTCATTGTGTGGGAATGACTCACATCTCACTTCTTGTAGGACAACCAGCATTCTTTGACAAACCAAATCAATATTGGTTTGTGGCATTTTAAAGCCTGCCCACAAATCTCCTAAATGCCCCAAATGGGTCAAAGCCACCTTTAATGAGAACCACTGGCATAGATTGTTTAATTTTCAATGGCTGGGATTGGAGAGAAACCCACAGAAAATGCGGGTGCTTAAAACCTGAACAAAACTAGCAAGAAAGGATGACTGCTGGGAAGGCATCCACCAGTGTGTGCCACAGGAATAGGCTACATGATTTTCTGTGAGGTCCCTTCTAGCTATAGAATTCTTACTATTTATGTCATAAATACAATATAAGATCATTTGTGGATCATCAAGGTAATGGATATTTATATTATACATACATATTACGATTCAAAATTGTAAAGACAGTCTCTTCAATGACTAAATATAACTGATGGATTAACTTTTCTTAAAAATAAGCAAAAAATGCAACAATTAAAGTATTTAAAATCTAAGCTTCCAAAAAATAAAGTGTCATGTGGCATTTTAGAAAAATGTTAACTTGAAAAAAATTTTGCTATGCTTGATTCAGAATAATAGCATTTGTGTTATTAATGAGAATAAATGAAGTCAACACTGTTTAATTCAAATTTAACCAATTAAAATACTTAAAACTTTACATAAGTTTGTATCTTAGTTCTTTCTGAGAAAGGGATGTAGGTACTTTTTTTCTTTTCTTTTTTTTTTTTTTACTTTAAGTTCTGGGGTACATGTACAGATCATGCAGGATTGTTACATAGGTATACACATGCCATGGTGGTTTGCTGCCTCCATCTCCCTGTCACCTACATTAGATATTTCTCCTAACATTATCCCTCCCCAATTTTCCCACCCCCTGCTATCCCTCCCAAACCTCCCCACAACAGGCCCCATTGTGTGATATTCCCCTCCCTGTGTCCATGTGTTCTCATTGTTCAACACCCACTGATGAGTGAGAACATGCAGTGTTTGGTTTTCTGTTCTTGTGTTAGTTTGCTGAGAATAATGGTTTACAGATTCATCCATGTCCCTACAAAGGACATGAACTCATCCCTTTTTATGGCTGTGTAGTATTCCATGATATATATGTACCACATTTTCTTTATGCAATCTATCTTTGATGGACTTTTGGGTTGGTTCCATGCCTTTGCTATTGTAGACAGTGCCACAGTCAACATACACATGACTGTGTCTTTATAATAGATTGATTTATAATCCTTTGGGTATATAACCAGTAATGAGATTGCTGGGATTGCTGGCTCAAATGATATTTTATTTCTAGATCCTTGAGGAATTGCCACACTGCCTTCCACAGTGGTTGAACTAATTTACTCTCCCACCAACAGTGTAAAAGAACTCCTCTTTCTCCACATCCTCTCCAGCGTCTGTCGTCTCCAGATTTTTTAATGATCACCATTCTAACTGGCATGAGATGGTATCTCAATGTGGTTTTGATTTGTATTTCTCTAATACTCAGTGATGATGAGCATTTTTTCATATGTTTGTTGGCTTCATATATGTCTTCTTTGAAAAGTGTCTGTTTATATCCTTCACCCACTTTTGGATGGGTTTGTTTTTTTTTCTTGTAAACCTGTTTTAATTCTTTGTAGATTCTGGATATTAGCACTTTGTCAGATGAGTAGATTGCAAAAATTTTTTCCCACTCTGTTGGTTGCCAGTTCACTCTAATGATTGTTTCTTTTGCTGTACAGAAGCTCTGGAATTTAATTAGGTCCCATTTGTCTATTTTGGCTTTTATTGCCAGTGCTTTTGGTGTTTTAGTCATGAAGTCCTTGCCTATGCCTATGTCCTGAATGGTTTTGCCTAGGCTTTCTTCTAGGGTTTTTATGGTGTTGGGTCTTATGTTTAAGTCTTTAATCCATCTGGAGTTAACTTTAATGTAAGGTGTCAGGAAGGGGTCCAGTTTCTGCTTTCCGCACACTGCTAGCCAGTTTTCCCAACACCATTTATTAAACAGGGAACCCTTTCCCCATTGCTTGTTTTTGTCAGGTTTGTCAAAGATCAGATGGTTGTAGATATGTGGCATTACTTCCAAGACCTCTGTTCTGTTCCATGGTCTATATCTCTGTTTTGGTACCAGTACCAAGCTGTTTTGATTACTGTAGGCTTGCAGTATAGTTTGAAGTCAGGTAGCATGATACCTCCAGCTTTGTTCTTTTTACTTAGGATTGTCTTGGCTATGCAGGCTGTTTTTAGGTTCCATATGAAGTTTAAGGTGGTTTTTTCCAGTTCTGGGAAGAAGGTCAGTGGTAGTTTGATGGAGATAGTATTGAATCTATAAACTACTTTGGGCAGTATGGCCATTTTCACGATATTGATTCTGCCTAACCATGAACATGGAATGTTTTTCCATCTGTTTGTGTCCTCTCTTATTTCCTTGAGCCAGTGGTTTGTAGTTCTCTTTGAAGAGGCCCTTCACATCCTTTGTTAGTTGTATTCCTAGGTATTTTATTCTCTTTGAAGCAATTGTGAATGGGAGTTCACTCATGATTTGGCTCTCTGTTTGTCTGTTATTAGTGTATAGGGATGCTTGTGATTTTTTCACATTGATTTTGTATCCTGAGACTTTGCTGAAGTTGCTTATCATCTTAAGGAGATTTTGGGCTGAGATGATGCGATCTTCTAAATCACAACCATGTACACTGAGACAATTTGACTTCCTCCTTTCCTAATTGAATACCCTTTATTTCTTCTTCTTGCCTGATTGCTCTGGCTAGAAATTCCAATACTATGTTGAATAGGAGTGGTGAGAGAGGACACACTTGTCTAATGCCAGTTTTCAAAGGGAATGCTTCCAGTGTTTTCCCATTCAGTATATTATTATCTGTCCTCATGTGACTGTTATAATGGATGGCCAGTGATCATCTTTTTCATATTTACTTGAATCCTGAAGGACCTAATGTAACCTCTGAGACCAGTGCATATTCAGTAGTTATAGATGTTTATTCTACAAATGAATGTTTTCATGAGATACTTTAGAAAAGATAATGCAAGTAAAATTTAAGATAAGTCTATTATAAATAGTTTTAATGTTGGGAATAAACCATTTCTTTGCATTTATTTCCCTAAGCTCTTTACTCCAGGTAATCTTGTGTGGATGAATACCTATTTTTTTTTTCTATGTGAACTTCATGAAATAGATGATAGATGGCTAGGTGTTAGTAACCATTAAAAGAAGAAGTTTCTGTACATCTCATTATCAGTCTGCCTATTCACTTGCCTCATGTTTTTGCTGTTCTTCTTTTTGCCAGGGATTCGATAAACAAGTGGATGTGTCATATATTGCCAAACATTACAACATGAGCAAAAGCAAAGTTGACAACCAATTCTACAGTGTGGAAGTGGGAGACTCAACCTTCACAGTTCTCAAGCGCTACCAGAATCTAAAGCCTATTGGCTCTGGGGCTCAGGGCATAGTCTGGTAAGCAGAATGGATTTGCTGTATTTTTAAAGGGAACATACTGTGTGCAACTACTAGACACAAACACACACACAAACAAAACCCCCAAAATAAATAGCATAATTTGGGAGGGAAAAATAATCCTGCTGAAAAAATTATTAGCCTTATGTTTAATTCATTACCCACTTGCTAACAATATATACAACTTGGCTTGTGACATGTTTTTCTGGTCACAGAAAAAAAATTGCTACACAAGAATCATAAAGCAATAAAGAGAACCAGTGGTTTCTAGAAGTTGCTAACGTATTTAAAAAAAATTTTTTTTTTTTCTTTTTGTGACAGAGTCTCACTCTGTCACCAGGCTGGAATGCAGTGGCTCCTTACACACTAGAGAGAGAGAAAAGATATTTCAGATGTTTCTATGACTTTTCAAATTCAGTGTTTGAAACAGGCACCTATTTCGAAAATGTAGTATTTAAAAAATGTTTGCCTTATGTTTCCAAAATGGGAAGATTATGGGCTTCTTAGTAACTATTCTTTTATGACATTATTGAGTAGCTAATTAAAATTATGACAAATCTAGATTTGATTTACCTGTTATAAGACTCTTGCAAAATTAATGATATCAGGTTAATTGATAAGCATTTCTTTTACACAGTTTTAATTTGTAATGTCACAACAAAATGTATTTAATATAAACTTATAATAATTGTTAATATTTCTAATGGTTCACATAGATAAGTAAAAATTCAGGACATGTATCCTGAATATTTATATATATACATTTATTTATAAAAGATATTTATTTATATATTTATTTGTTACTGCTCTATTCATAATGTCCATTTAAAATCACAAACACTTTTAAGGGATGAGATGAATTTACAGCAAGTCACCATAAATTTAGCCATTTTCTTGCTGACCTTACAGTTCTGTAGGTCAGAAGTCCTACACAGGTTTCACTGGGCTAAAATCAAGATGGTGGCTGGCTGGGTTCCTTTCTGGAGGTGCTGGAGGAGAATCTATTTCCCTGTTCTTTTGAACTGTTGGCAGATTTCAACTCCTTGTAGTTGTGGTAAAAGAATAAAAAGAGGTTTGCAATGTAAAATATATTAAATGTTTTAAAAGTCGTGTTTAAGTGGCTGCGTTTATGGCAATTTGCTATGCTAGCAATACTAATACACATGATATAGTAAAGATTCTGATATTAAGACAATTCCTGTAAATGTCCTAAACTTACCAGTGACAGGAGAAAAGAGTAATTTCTGACTACCTTTCCTTGACAGAAAATTATAGAATATTAACATGAGACAGTTTTCCTAAGATTCTCAGTTCAGATGCTCAAATATTCCTTGGGATAGTTTGATCTTCCTTTGAATAGATCTGCCACAGATTTGTGGCCGTGAAACTGAATACTGTTAAGTGAAAGAAAACATAGACCTTTAATGACTCAAAAATAGATCCAAAGCAGCATTTTGCTCAGGAAGTTAACAGATTATCACGGAAAGATTTGAACATTTCCTAATAATTTTGTAGTATGTTTTACAAGACATTTGGGCCTCTATTTCTCCTTTTTATAGAGTGGAAATTATCCTTGGCCTTAGGTATGGTAACTGAAAATTTTTTTTTTAATGTTGCCTTTGTCAACTGTGAACTCATTGGCCTCTCTTACATCAATTGCATCCCTTCCCAGACATGTTTCTGAAATCCACGGACCTTCTCTATGAGCACAACTGTCAGATTGCATAATATCTTGAATGTTCCATGCAATTCTGAGTATAGAGACTGGTAGAAATTGTAAACTGGGCATATCTGAGGTCTCTGAGTGACATACAAACTGAAACTTATCATTAATTTATTTTACCTTATTTTCTTTGTAGCAGAAATAAAACACGGAGGAAACAATTACAAAGCAGATATCATCATTGTTGTGTATGTGTCACCACGTGCAATTCTGCATGTGTGTGCACGAGAAATTTTGCTTTTCAAGCCTAAGTATTGGCATATGGATACTTATTATGTCACAGAATCTCCATCCTCCTAACTTGTTTGAAATGGAGTCTTGGTTCTACTGTTCTGGATACCTTAAACTTGTTACTGGGTTCTTACAATCTCTTTCCCCTCTTTAGACTGTTTTATTTCTTACTTATCAGTATGGGGAAAAAGATAATACTAAAATATCTTCAAAAGAGATTAACTATTACTATACTGTTTTTCATTTACCATGGATGATAGGTCAAAAATGTCAATGTTGAGCACAATTAAATAAAAGCTAATATAAAATCTTTGGGAAAAAATGAAAATTTTTCTTCTGTCTTTGAGGGAAAAGAAAAGATTATCTGTTGAAGCAGAAACAATGAGAATTATTCTGCTTCACTGTGTAAGCTGAGAAGTTCTCTATAGCTTCATAGATGGGGAATTGTAGAATAATCTCTGAGTTTTTAGCAACTGTGGTCAGGATCCAGAGGAATAAATCATTTCAGAACACTTTTCCAGTCATCAGAAGAGGGTCTCAATTGTGTTTTTTTTCTGTTTCCAACTCTTGAACAAAAACAAGCATGGGAAGAAATCAACACTAGGGGTTTCCTTGTCTTCACTTACACACTTACATCCATCCTACTGTTTCTTGCCAAGCCAAGGAACATTTTCTACTTTCTCATTTGTGTCTCTAAAGATGATTCAAACTGACAGCCAAAGTGGTGGCAAAAGTTAACAACTACGTTTAGCAGAGACAATTTGCCAAAGTTGTTCTGCACTTTAACTGCAAAGGGCTGATTGCATAGTTTTAAATGCAAGGAAGTAAAGCCATATTATTTCCTTCTTTGTGGTGTCACACACCATCAGCTTGTAAGTGGTCACAATTCAATTTCACAAGAAGATATTAGGCAGGATATTTACGGCAAACTGTAAGATTAATACAGATAAAAGCATAGAATCATTGTAAAATATCTGTGCCTTGAAAATTAAGTATTTAAAAATAAGCTGATATCTTTTATGTTAACCAACTTAAAAAAATTCCACTTAGAGCTAGAGGATGACATTTAATTAAAGTTTGAATAATCATAGTTATAAGATGTCCTGGAAATAATACAGTGGATTAGTTTATCTTAAATGGAATATATATGCATATATATGTATATGTACAGTAGTCCCCCTGTAGAACTTTCTGTGGTTTTAGCTACCCATGATCAACCAGGACACAGAAATATTAAATGGAAAATTCCAGCAATGCTTTGTAAGTTTTAAATTGTACACCATTCTGAAATCTTTCCCTGTATCACTCTATCTCATCCCATCCTGCTGGTGATGTGAATCATCCTTTTGTGTAGGGTATCCAGGCTGTCATATGATACACCTGTTAGTCACTTAGTAGCAGTCTTGGTTATCAGAGCAACTGTTGCAATATTGCAGTGCTTGTGTTCAATTTACCCTTGTTTTAATTAATAATGGCTCCAAAACACAAAAGTAGTGATACTGGCAATTTGGATGTGCCAAAGTGGTGCAGTAAGGTGCTTCCTCTAAGTGAAAAAGTGAAAATTCTCAACTTAATGAGGAAAGAACAAAAATCTTATGCTGAGATTGCTAATGTCTTCAGTAAGCAAGAATCTTCTATTTGTGAAATTGTGAATAGTGTGTCATTACAGTTGTTCTATTATTCTTGTCAATTCCCTGCTATGCTTAATTTATAAATTAAACCTTATCATAGGCATATATGTGTAGGAAAAAACATACTATATGTAGAGTTTGATATTAGCCAGTTTCAGACACCCACTGGGGGCTTTGGAATGCATCTGCCTCATAGACAATGGGGTGCTACTGCAATGAATATGTAATACCAATATATAATTACTATATATTATATATACCTACATATTAATCCAGCGGGTTAATTTTAATTGGTTAGGTATCGTATATATTATTTTAAATATGTATATATATTAGGATATATATCTTTTTGTTTTGCACAAAAATTTGAAAAATCATTTCTGGTGAATGTCCTTCAATAAGTGATCTATAGTAATAAGACTATGCAGATAAACAATTTAAGATATAAATTGCCAGGCATGTTCAGCAGAACCTCAGGTGTTCACATATTCTTCCTTGAAAAAAAAAGTTCCCCCTTTTTAATGTACTCATTTTTATTAAAAGAAAAAAGACACTACGTACTCTGATGTGTTTAGCAGATTTTACCATTTTGATGATGAATTTGAGTCACTCCATCTGTACTCTGATTTAATCACCCTTGAACTAATAACATCCATCCACAAAATGATTGGAAATGCATGGGAACATCTTCCCCAAGGGGCTGGTAAATATGCACCAGAATAAAAGTGATTGCACCTTGGCCATTTTAGGGTGCATGATAGAAAGATATTTAATATCTATTTCTTGCTGATAAAAATTAGAAGAAAAATTGATAAAATAAGTTCTCAGGATTCTGTTAAAATTTGCATATTTAAATATTATAGATTCAATTGCTCGTAGTTTAATATACCTTATATTGTCATCTTTAGTAATTATAGTTGCAAATAAACTTATGTCCAACAAGTACTTTTTTCCCATTATGATTTGTCAATGATAGCTTTTAACTTTCAGTGTTTCAGAATCTAGGTTTACTCATCTGTAAAATGGAGATAGTATTATCTCTTAGGACTCAAGAGAGTACAAAACAAGCTAGATACATAAAATTGCTTTATAGAACTGAAATTGTCAGGACTTTTAGTAGATTCAAAAAAGGTAGGCTTATGATACTTTTTCCTAACAATGGAAAATTGTAAAGGTCAGCACATGTAACCCAGGAAAATGCCTGATTGTAACAGTTGCTTCTCATCACACTGTGTATATTATATACATATTACAGTTAAGAACATGGGATTTAATTAAAAAAAAAAAACAAAAAAAAAAACTTTACTAATACTCCATCATGGAGGCTGGCAAAGAAGCATTTGAACTTTTTTTTTTCCCCTATCTTTCATCCAGGGCTTCAGTTAACCAATATTATTTACAATATGTTAGTTTTA